TTGTTTGATAATCTTACTGCACTGAATATAATTTCATTTCCTTTCATCCCTATTACCTGTCGTTAATGTATCATCATCATCATCAGCCTATTAAAGTCCCCACTGCGGCACAGGCCTTCTCTATGGATAACATACGGATATTGGGCCATGAACCACCATGCGGGCCCAGTGCGGATTGACGGGTACTAACGACTGCAGATACAGCCGGAACCAACGACTTAACGTGCGTTCCGAAGCACGGAGGAACTCGAGATGGAAGATTTTTGGTCACCCATACAATGACCGACCACTGCGAAAGTTGCTTAACTTCAACGATCGCAGCTAAACGCGCTTACCACCCGTGCCATCGAGCGCCTTGTTAATGTATGTAATAAAGCTTTGTTACAAGGTCGCATTCGCTAAAGAAACAAATGACAATTTTGTGACACAAAACCAAACACATCTCATCTTTTCCAGGACACAGAAATTGTCTAAGTTAACTGCTGCTACAGGGTTGCCATCTGTCTATCATTAGCCAGATATTGTCTTTATATTGTCTTATTTAAATGTGTATTCTGACTTTTTTTCTAACTATAATAATTTTCAGCCTATGGTTTGCATTAGGGTGAAGCCAAACGAGCGTAATTTTGTGAGTTGTGAGTCGCTTATTTTCGGTCACTTATTTTACGTTCAACTGAATTTCTGTTGAGCTGCCATACGAACGTAATTTATTCAGTTACTATTGAGCGTTAGTACGGGGTGTTCGTGTCGTCAAGTGCAATGGATCCATTAAAAATATTGTGTATTTACGAAGCATAATTATTCAGAAGATGAGGCCAGAAAAAGAAACTGGGTAAACCCACTGAATAGTCAGAGGCTGATATGTGGACAGTTCCATACTTTATATGAACGTTTATGTGCAAATCCAGATATGTTTGAAAAGTACTATAATATGCCATTACGTGTTTTTCAAGAATTATTACACCACGCGACTTGTAACAAACTGTTGCTTCCCCACTCCCCTTCCTTGCCCTACCCTCACCCCGACCGAAATTCGGACGAGCTTATGCGCATTGAGTCGGCAGACAACTCATTTTGCGTTGTCGTGTGGCATCAACTGCCTTTTTGTATGAAACCGAATGCAGCAGAATTTCTGCGACCGAAATTCTGCGACTCACCACTCACAAAATTACGCTCGTTTGGCCTCACCCTTACTCTTCTACATGGCAAGGAAGAAAAGGTACGCACACTTAGGCATTGTCCTAATACAACGCGATAACACGAATGAGCGATGCGATCATCGTACGAGTCGATGATCAAACATATTGATCTAACAAACAAACAAACAAAATCGTTTATTCAGTACAGAACACGGATACAGATAAAATTGTTATAGGTAGTTAAATCTTACAGTGACTGAGACCACTCCGTATCCACGGCTGCGCTGAAAAGGACCCAGTTCAGCATAATGTCAGTGCAGTATGCACTGGCGCTGGTTTTCAACTGGGTCCTTTATCTGACAAGTGGATGCCAAACACTAACGATTTTTATATGTGTATAATTATTATTATTTAAAAGAAAAAATAAAAAGGGGCGTATATCTAAATATAAGATAATAAGTTATGGTACTTACCTAAAATATATATAAATATGATAAATATTTGTTTTCTATGATTGTACATATTTTGTGAAGTTTAGGTGTAGGCTTTGTGTTTAGTATATATGTTTATTGCCTTTCAGGTCCTGATCTGTTATTGAAGTAATTATATTATTAGATCTAGAATAGGTGTCCCAATAGGCGAACGCGCGATGCATTCGCGCGACTAAAATGTTTAAAAATCTATTCGCGGGAACTTAGTTCGCGCGAACGCGCAATAAAACCTATTAATGATGAATAGATGTCCTAACTGAAGTTCGCGCGATGATCGCGTCGCGTCGATAGGAAGCGGGGAGAGGGGCACTGCTAACCCGACCAAACTGTGTGTCAATCGTGATCCCGTATTCGCGTTCTATTAGGACACCCAGTTCGCGATCACGCGATGGTCGCATTGTTTAAACGCGCGATGATCGCGTTATCGCGTTGTATTAGGACAATGCCTTAAGCTGGGTGAGCGGCCAATGTCTTATGTGGAAGTTCACCTTTTGTATTTAGAACGTAGCAAACCCTAGAAGAGGAAGAATATTCTTTAAAGAAAGTGGTGGCACTGGCCTGTCGCTCCTGTCATGTTTGGTTGCGCGTAACTATAATTTGCTCATAGTCCAAAGACTGACTGCAAATAATAAAAAAAGAACAGCAACCCTTACTGCGGATCTTCATTAGTTGTAAAAGGTAACATGAGAAGTTTAAGACAATGCTGATAAGCATTGCCACATAATGAAAATATGGAATGGAAGCAAACCCAGGCTAGGGACATGAAATGATTTAGTCATGACATGAATAGACTATAGCTGAGTGTGGAGTATGCAATGAGAATGGGCACTTAACACAAAGGTGTCAAACAAACCTAGACCTTTGTCTAGGTGAGCCCAGTGGGCCCCATTTTAATAGAATATAACAAACAGGAGCAAACTAAAACAACAGCTCGTTTGGCACTATCTAAGTCTATATTTTTATCTATGTAGTTCATCATATTCAGTGTAGCATCTATGAATATATTTATTATATGTACCATCAATGATATCATACCATCAGAGATTCTGAATTTCGTTGACTTCAGGAAGAATATTTCTTGTTTATTTGAACTCAGTAAATATATTATATTACAGTTCCTATACTCAGGCTTGTATTATACACAATGACATTCATCTATGATTCTTCTTATACCTGCATGCAAAGTCTCAGCCCGATCGGTTTAAAATTGACAAAGTTTCATTCCCTATTTTATCCCCTTGGGGGTAGAATTGATCAAAATCCTTTCTTAGCGGATGCCTACGTCATAACATCTACCTGCATGCCAAATTTCAGCCTGATCCGTCCCGTGGTTTGGGCTGTGCGTTGATAGATCACTATGTCAGACAGTCAGTCACCTTTGAGTTTTATATTAAAATTTTACAACCCTTCATATTTTAATGCATAGAGTTACAAATCATAATAAAATATTAGATCATCAATTATCGTTGATTCATAAGTAAATATCTTCATGGTCATAAAACATCTAAACATGAAGGATTAGAAACTGCATACAATATATGTTCATATCAAAACATGTCACTATTGCTGTATTTATTATTACCACAGCATCAATAATAGGCACTCAAGTTGTTATTAATGAGTCATGAAAGGCTGTTTAACATATGTGTGACATTGTAACTACAAAAATGGTCAATTGTTCAACTTGTTTTTATATAAAGGCTTGTATGCTTTGTGTAGGTACAGGAATTACAGATTAACACTCTGCTCATTTGAGTTTCTGTATACAACAGGTCATTTCTGGGTAAGGAAACCTTTAAACAACTGTCATGAGTGTGCTATCACATTATAGTAATAAGTGATATCCATAATGCAAGTGTAGCCACTGTTCTTAACTGTAATGTAACTTAGCGATAGGGCCTGTATTGTTATGTTGAGGTACTGAACCTGGCAATATCAATCACAAACTTTTACAATAAATGTCCCACTACAATAAACCCCCAAGTTAAAGAAGCTGGTGACCATACGGATATATTTCATTTTTATATATCAAGCAAACATCAAATCAGTAAATATTAGGGCCTAAGCGACATTAATCCAGAAAACATCAAAATTTACTCGCTTCAGTGTTATGAAAAAAAAAGGGTTCGCTCAAATGCTAAAAATGTGCTTCATCTTTAAGAAATGTAGATAGACACAAAGAAAGCTTATTACAATAACATTATACTCATTTACAACCAATGTTAAGGGATTTTACTACTCCACTGTCAATATTAATCATTAGATTTTTTAAGTACCAATGCATCCAGATGCATTTGAATACTGGCCCAGGTCAGTATTAAATTATTTCTGTTTATTTTAAATGATTAAGCTTAATAACACATAATCACATAAATTGGTTAAATAATATTTACCTAGGGTTGATTTAAAATTTGCATGCAAGATTCTTATAACATTTTGGTAGTATATTGGAATCAAAGCAGTACCCTTTGCTATCCAGGTGAGGCTTTTTATAGTCATTATGCTTTTAGATATAAACATATTGTTGTCAATTCTGACATGATTCAGAGAGTCATGCCAGTTACACTAATGTTAAATTAAGTCATTTTCATTTTGTATAGAGCATTCTCTATACATTACAAGGATACATCAAATTTTGGTTTAGACAATCATGTATAACTAACCAATGAATACTTAATAATATATTGTAGAAAATGACATATATTATAATAACCTACCAGGCATTTTATAGGTTAAAATGAAAAAAAAAACAAATATTGAATTGGCTGATCTTATCAGCAGCAACAACAGAATGCTATAATCAGGAAAAATAAATATGTATTATTGTGGTTTTAAATTTGCAATGAAGTTAAAGCAATCACTTTTAAGGTATGTTGAATATGGTAGGTATGTGTCTGTTACATGCAAATCTTATTGGATAACATTTATATAACAAATAATTATTACTGTTTTTAGATGAATAATTGTTTATTTTTGGCACTCAAAGATAGAGTTATCCTAAGGAACCAATTAATTATATAATAACCAGTATACATAACATTTCCTACTACAAATTTAATAATGTAATGTAGGTTAGGCACTTACTACTTGAAGGTACTAGCTAGAAATTCAACTACCTTATAATGATATTTAGAAATAATCCATTTATAAAACGTAATACATATTTTTCCAATATAATAAGTAAGTGGACAGGGTAAACATAAAATTAACATGCCTAATGTCACTGAGCCAATAGAGAAGGTCAAAACTGAATAATTTGCAACACAACATTTAGCTTAGCTCCAGTTTGCGTATAACGCTATGATTCTGTTATAACCTAGAAAACTCTTGAATAGAAGTGAGGAAGTACAGTTAGACCACAAACACTCACCGATTGTCGCGAACTCGTCAGGTGTCCTGCCACCGGCTATGAGCCAACGGCACCAATCCACTGTCTCCCACTCGTCTATAGCTTTGCTAGGATTCAGCAGCACGTCCAGCAATGGACCCAAATGCTGCGGAGAACCGCTGGCGCAGTCCGCGTGTATGTAGGCAGCTGCACCACGTTTACCTTTCTTCATCAACACTTGCGCCGTTGAGTTAGACATTTTACACTTTTCTAACTAGCGCTCGTCTTCAATAATAACACTACACATAAGTCACCGTATATTTTAGTTACTCACGGAAGAAACACCATTTCAAGTTTTACATAAGGCAATGAACTGTGCTCTGTAACGCCTTCGCAAAGAAACATGGTTCAATTGTCACCAAAACCCACACGAACCGATCTCCTTTAAAATGTTTTATCTTTCTTAAATATTAACGAACTGTAAATGAAAACTTAGATAATTCTTTAGATTTTCACAAGAAGAAAATAATGCAATGCCAGAAAACAACTCGGCCATTCCTTCGATGTTTACGTCAGAAAAACAAAACTCTACTAAATTTACAGCATATATTTTTTCTCGTTTAGTAGTATAGTAGAATTCTGAGAAGTCTGAGCTCGACCCACAATATGCCATCTCTACACGATGGCCAACGCCGACCCAGTTAGATGGCTATGCGATGGTTGAAATTAAAATGCAACTACACGATGGCGATTGTGGTTAATAAAGAAGCATTAGCTGCTGTGGCAATATGTTTATACATGGAGTACCATTATTTTTTTAATGTGCATAAGAATAAAGTAATTAAAAAACGAGAGAGCCTTACCGAAACCTACTACAAAAGGAATAAGCCATTTGAACATTCCTGTTACACACTTCCATCCCATTTCATGACATCACTCTCACAAATTGCAGGAAAGCGAGAGGATGTTACACATCAATAAGTATATGTATTATTCTATACTATAAATATATATTATCCAATATTACTAAATGTACTTATTTGTAGTCTTATTATTACAATCTACTTTTTCAAGCGCGAAGCGGGCGAGGAGCGATATTCCTCCCACCCAACTTATCGTGCGCGCCTTGTAATTAAAGTAAAAGTACAAAAACCTTCCTGTTTAGTTTACAAAATGACGACCGTTTTAATTTGTTCACGGTGCACGCTGAAGTAAAGACCTAGCTAGCGTCGTCGTACCATTGTCGTACACGTCAGGTACAGCGATTCATGACCGCACTCGAAAAAAACTTCTTGATAAGCAACCAAATTTTTACAGAAAATACTGATCTAATGTGTCCAAACTACGCAAAATATAATGAAAGCTTATTAGGAACAGAGATTTAGAGCAAGACTTTTAAAAAACCCTTCAGAGCTATCGTTGGCAGCGTACGCAGAATAGTGCATAATAAAAAAGAACAAACTTTTCTTTTTGTAAATGCTGCATGTTTATACAGTGGTGTCGATTCTGGCATGATTCTCTAAAGCTAAACTTAAATTTGACAACAGTGGTCCCGATTCTGGCGTGATTCTCTAAACTTAAAACTAAATTTAACATCAGTTTCTCCTTTTCGTTCTGTATAGAGAATGACAAGGATATACTGCTGTCAAATTTAAGTTTAGGTTTAGAGAATCATGCTAGAATCGACACCAGTGTATCCTTGTCATTCTCTACACAGAATGAAAAGGAGAGACTGATGTTAAATTTAGTTTTAGGTTTAGAGAATCATGCCAGAATTGAGATCAGTGCCTGTAGTCTGCCCTGAAGTGTTAGTATAAAAAAAAGCAATAATCAAAAAGAGGTACGCTATCTTCACGGACATATCACGGACACACGCTACTTGAATTTTTGGAGTCTGGAGAGGTGATGTGGTTACTTTATTTTGGTTTGTTATGCCAAAGAGAGAAAATTCAAGTTATAAGAATTTCGTAATCAATTTTTAAGTCTGGTGTATAAGTACTTTTCAAATCTATGAAGAGTAAATACAATACTAAGTCTATGGTAAAATACGTGGCTGTATGAACTTATTATCCGAAACCTTCTATAATTGAGAGAATATTATAATGTTTAATTTTAATGTGTTGCCAAGTTAGTATCTTATTGTCGAATATTTTTCTTTTTTCACATCGTGTCTACCCCTTACAGGCTTTACGGCATAATACCTCCTAAAAAACCCTGCGAATACCCTCTAAGCTGCTTTTTGCGAAACCTCGGGATCCCCGTTTAGGGATGCTTTGTGAGGGTGTGCTTATATGAAAAGACTTTGTGAAACAAACATTGTTATATAATTAACGAATCAAGCATTGACAAGATATAATATAATAATCTTAGTTGACCTACAAATTCGTTTTTGGTTACTCTCTTTATTGACAGCGTTGTGCCAGTACTCACATTCTTCCGCATCTCCGTACCCAGCAGCCTCTCAGCCTAGCCGGGCCTCCACGGCAGGGGTCTCCTGAGGTATTGCGGGGAACCCACAGACGTGCGCAGGATGGCCCGCTGGTGGGAGTTGAGTACGCGGCCTAGTGCCCACCGTACCGCCCCTCGTCCGCTACAGAGGACTACTTGGGCGTGCCCGTGTAGCTCCCTCCACATCGTGTCTACCCCTTGTAGATATTTTTTTATTTAAATCCACCAAGGTAAACTGCTGTAAGAGATAAAAATATGGCAGGTATATTAAAAAAAAATGATGTAATATATTTGTTGTGAGGTGGTTATTATTAGCTATGCATTCTTAAAAAATCTTTAGTTTGAAATAAATAGCGATGCATCACGAACTTAAACTGTTACTATTTAACAATATTTTGAGGTGATTATTTTGCTGTGCAATAAGTATTTTGCTTAGGATTGGGAATTAATTTTTATACTAAATTTCAAATTTTTCATGAATGAATTAACCCTGTTTAATACACATTTCTTAATGTATTTTTTAATTTTTTATTAATTGTGGGGAACAATAATAATATTATGAGTGAAAAATTGCGTGTGATTGTCCTTGCCATGCACTAATCTTAATTATCGAAATATCTTTTTTCTTGTGCTGATTTTCAAAGAGAATTTAACCTTCGTTTGAGGATTTTTTAAATCACGTGTGGTAACATTAAACTGTTTTTTTTACTCTTTTTATTTGAAGTGCGCTGTGCTCGCTCTCGTGTAAAACAACATGTGGATTGTGAATTTGTGTTTTAGTTTGTAAATAATTTGTTAGATTTTATGCCACAAACTTTCATCAACATAAAGTTCCCATTTCCTAATTTTGCAGCTCTATTGTTTTATTGTTTCGAACACGCGCTAACATGGATGAAGATAAAAAGGTTATGTTTCATGAAATGGAGTTGGACGATCGAATACTAAAGGTACAACAAACAATTTTTAAAGTAGAGACTGCAATACATGCTGTTCTACACACGACTATCAAAATGTGTATAATATTTAAATAAATTTGTCTAACATTAGAGAATTGCCCTATCTTGCAGGCTGTTTCACAGTTAGCATGGCGAGAACCAACAATGATACAAGAAACAGCTATTCCTCTTTTATTAGAGGGTAAAGATGTACTGATCAGAGCCCGGACTGGCTCAGGAAAGACTGCTGCGTTTGCTATTCCAGTTATTCAAAAAATATTACATTTGAAAAACTCTAGCAGGCATCAGAGCATAAAAGCTCTTATATTATCGCCAAGCAAGGAATTGTGTGGACAGGTAAAGAAATATATTTATTACTATTGATTCCTTTATTAGTTATTGCAACAATTAATTTCAAGCATGTTTTCTTTTCTAGATAGCCTCTGTGATTGGTGATTTAACTATAAAATGTGCAAGAGAAGTACGTTGTGTAGACATATCTGCTACTGGGGATACACAAACACAAAAGTCACAGTTGTTGGATAAGCCTGATATAGTAGTAGCAACTCCATCCAGAGCATTAACACATTTAAAAGCAAATAACATGAGATTGAAAGAAGATTTGTCAGTGATGGTAGTCGATGAGGCGGATTTGATATTTTCATTTGGATATGAAGACGAAATAAAAGAACTATTGACGTAAGTTCTATTTATAGTTTGTATCCTTTTATTTTATATTTTAGATGAAGTAGTTTTCTTTAGAGTTGATTATGCAATTTTGCAGTTATCTGCCAAAAATCTACCAAGCAGTACTAGCATCAGCGACACTTTCAGATGATGTCATCAGTCTGAAGAAGATAGTTCTTCGAAATCCTGTCACTCTGAAGCTGGAGGAACCTGAATTGGCGCCGTCTTCGCAACTACAACATTACCATCTGTTTGCGGAGGAAGATGACAAAGCTGCTATATTGTATGCATTGCTCAAATTGAATTTGATTCGTGGCAAGAGTATAATATTTGTGAGAACAGTGGATAGGTGTTATAAGTAAGTAAAACGAATGGCTGTTATTGAATACAAATACAAAAGCCTTTATTGCTGATAATTACATAAATTTACTTATAATTCAGCAGACACATAGGCCTCCTCCAGCCTTTTCCACCCCAATCTATCCCTTGCTAACCTCAGCCATAGCGGGCCAGCTATCCTTATGTCATCCGACCATTGTTTCAGCTGCCGTCCACATTTATGGTAAGTGTTGGTTCCGAGGATCCATTCTGTGGTCTTCCTTTTCCACTTCCCTATTTCGTCTCTTGTGACGTGATCTGCCCTGTTATTGAAACGTTTTTATTATTATTTTAGCTGTCCCAGATTGGGAGCACAAGAAATTTTCAAACTGAATGCACCAGTTCCACAGCATATCACAAACTTTTTTCTGTGATGCCACCACTTGGCTATTTTGTGTTTGGTATTTGTAAACTTGATAACAGTCTCCTTATCTTCTTTATAAGCAATGAAAAAGAAAGACTGATGGTTGTTTACAAAAAATTAACATGAATAGCGAAGTTATGTGCTGTCATGAAATAAACATTTCATTTTGTCTCAACACTTCTTTAACATCATTAACAGGCTCTGTTTGCAGTTGTATTGCGGACACAATACTTGTCACTAAATTCAAAAATTCATACTTTACAGTTTAAAGCAAGAGAACAAAATTATAAAAAAATATGTGATGATGTTCCAATTCATCTGCATTTGTTAGTACCCGCCAATCCCCACTGGGCCTGCATGGTGGGTCATGGCCCAATCTCCTTATTCCATCCAGTGTGAAGGCTTGTACCTCAGCAGTGGGGACATTAATAGGCTGATGATGTTTCAATTTGTAAAAAAAAATATGCAAAATATAAATATACCTATAAAAAATTATCATAAGTGTAATCTTACTTCAACGTTTTGATAACTATGTTTGTTTCTATTCATGAGCAACAAATTTATTTATAGGTTAAAATTGTACCTGGAACAGTTCAAAATAAGTTCGTGTGTTCTCAACTCTGAACTGCCGGCCGCCGTCAGGTGTTTGTCTGTCGACCAGTTCAACAGAGGACGGTATCAGATCATAATAGCATCCGATGAAAAAGCATTGGAGAAGCCTGATGGTGGTATACTGCCCATTGAAGAAAGGACTAAAAAGAAAAAGGTTTGTCATTTGATACCAGTACCTTACTTGGTTATTCGTATTTGCTATTTGTTAACTGAACACCAGTCTATTTTTATCATGCTTGTTGCATGATTATAAGTTATTGAGTATTGCAT